GACGCTCCCTGCGAATGTCAAGCAATGGATAGAGGAAAACGATGACGAAATTCAGGAGGCGCTTTACTGGCGCCAGGCCTTTGACTGTCGAACCCAGCAACTTTCCGTAGGTATATGATCGCATCGTTGCGCTGATCACAGCGAAACTAACTTTGCGCAGTCCGTTGAACGTACCTGCAAATGCCGACAACCTGCGAACCCGGATAAGACCCTCATCGGATGCTCCAACAAGGAATGCGGCAAGTGGCTGCACGAGCATTGCCTTCGGGAGGATGCCCTGACGCGAACTTACGAACGACTTGGCAGGGACAAGCCCCACTTCGCCGCGAAGCCCCCGACCGAAGGAACTGCTTCCGTCGCGGAAAGCGACATCGAGAAGGAAGTGAAGGAGGAGAAGAAGATGGACGATGGCGTCAACATCCCCCTGAGCCCCACGGAAAGCGGCGCCGAAGTCAAGCAAACGATCGATGCAAAGCCTAGCGACGCTCCCGAAGAGCCGAACGGCCAGTCAGTCACCGAGGGTACCCCTGCCATTCAGGACGAGCGTGTCTCGCAACAGCCCACGACTCCCGCCACGCCTTCTGCGCTCGAAGCCCCTTTGGCGTCCCGAAAGGCTAGATCCGGGAAGAAAAGAATTGCGGTATCAGACACGAAGGCCTACGAAGGGCTCTTTGAGGCGAAGATCTTGATGGACATGAACCCCCCGAAGATTGAGATCAGGGACCTTCGCGAGAACGTCACCGAAGGCGACAAGGTGTGGACGGAGCCACTGCTCTGCGTTGTTTGCAGCGTTGAAATCAGCTGAACCAGTGGCTACAAACGGCCCGGCAACTCTTGAGCCCTGACCGAGGGCAACATTTTCTTTTTGGACGCGAATGTGGGGTTCCCAACTTTACTTCTCGCTATATTTATTCCAGCAAGCACTGCGTAACTGGCATTCTCCAATGGGCCCTGCAGTACTCTTAGCTGTAACGATTCGAACATGACCAGGACAGCCTTTCGAGTCATGAGAAAGGCTGGTTTGAAGGGAGCCACGCATAGGGGGGCACGGGGAAGAGAGCGACTGGTGCGAGACAGGTTACTTTGGTGTGGTTGGGCCTCTATTTATCTTCGCGAGGCGTTGGCGAATACGGATTTTTCGCAATAGTGAGGTTGGAAAGAACATGTTAGGTAGTAGATCTAGTGAGGAGGTTGAGTCCAAAAAAAGGGGACGAAAAGGAGCGCAAGGCCAGCAGAATGGCAGTCTGGAGACAGAGTCTACGAGCAGTTTCCTAGAGCTTACATGGTTTGGTCTATGTTTCTTTCCTAAGTCGAATATCGACGAGCGCTTTTTGTTTGGGGACGAATGAATACAAAGGACGCTTTAAATATTGTAAATTCACGATGCAAGGTGCCACGAACAATATGCATGCTTTGCGGTACGGATTGCTCTGGCAAGCTGTGTTGAGCTCTCTGAGTTGGTTAGTCCTGCCATGACGTGCCGCTTGATGGTAGCTCCGTACCTCACCACTACACTAGGGAACTGGTCGGTGCTTTGAGAGCTCACATTGAGTGGTGGGGTTCTTCCCCAGGGGCTGCTGATGACCGCCCTACCCCGCCGGGTCCGTTCCGCTAACACTCCCACCCCTCGAACATCCAATCCATCGACAACGCATCCCATCACCGCCGAAGCTTCAAAAAACTCTCGCCTCACCGATCCGGACATTTACATACACAGCGCCACAATGGCCGCCGTCGACCCTTTCGACTCGGCGCTGTAAGCACCGGACCCCAACCCATCGTCTCCAATGTCACTAACCTGAGCCCGCCTCCAGCGACCTCCTCCGCCGTCTGAACCCGAAACACACGACCGACCACCTCAATGCCATCATCTCCCTCGCCCCAGACCTGACCGAGGACCTACTCTCATCCGTCGATCAGCCACTGACCGTCAAGCGGTGCAAGCAGACGGGCCGCGACTACCTCCTTTGCGACTACAACCGTGACGGCGACAGCTACCGCTCGCCATGGAGCAACCAATTCGACCCGCCTCTGGATGAGAGCGGTGTCGGTGGTGTCGGTGCCGGTGGCAGCGAAGGTGCTGGCGAGGGCGCTATCCCTAGCGAGCGTGTCCGCAAGATGGAGATCAAGGCCAACGAGGCGTTTGACGTCTACCGGGACCTCTACTACGAGGGCGGTGTGAGCAGTGTCTACTTCTGGAACCTGGACGATGGGTTTGCCGGCGTTGTTCTGCTCAAGAAGTGTACGTCTCTGCCCTGCTGGACCCGGTCATGAAGACACTACGCGAAAAAGCGCTGACAATGCAACAGCCGCGACACCTGGCGGTAGTGCCGAGGGTGTCTGGGACTCGATCCACGTCTTCGAGGCCATCGAGCGTGGCCGCACCACACAGTACAAGCTTACGTCAACCGTAATTCTCTCCCTGTCGACTTCGGCAGCCTCGCTGGGCGACATGGACCTGAGCGGCAACATGACGAGACAGGTGGAGCAGGAGCTGCCGGTTGATGGCGACGAGAGCCACATTGCCAATGTCGGCCGCCTGGTTGAGGATATGGAACTCAAGATGCGCAACCTGCTGCAGGAGGTCTACTTTGGCAAGGCCAAGGACGTCGTCGGCGACCTGCGGAGCATCGGCAGCCTTAGCGAGGGGGCGAGGGACCGCGCGGCGCAGAGGGAGATCATTGGCAGCATGCAGAGGTGATCTGATTCTTGGATGCAAGCATTGTTGCGCTGTGTGCGTTGTTTCGGAAGTTATCAGAGAGGAATGAGAAAGAAGATTATGGTGTTACGGCTGGACATGGTGATTATCGAGAGATCGGGTCGTACGGTTTCAAGCCGCCTGCTCCCCCCCCTTGTCTTAGATCAGATCTCTTCGTGCACCGAGGCGTCAGGATCGTGGGGTCCCAGATAGATGAGGGCTTGCCCGCCTTGTCTTGGCCCATATCCTCTTTGGAGCAGGGAGCGGCATTGCCTCGCAGGATCAGACCGGAATGCGCGTCCAAGCCAGGGTCAATATCCAAGCTGACGAGTGGCTGAGGCACTCCGTGTAACTTTTCAATTTGGGATGTCGTCCCGTGTTCCTGGGAAGCTTGTTTCCTGTCTTTCAACTTGTTTCCCCTTCCCGTCTTTCACAACCCAAGTCAAAAAGTACCGAAACCAACTTGGACAGCTCAAAGAGGTAAAGCCAGGTGGAAATGACATGTCGTGCAACTCGTTGAATCGCGGTCTCTCCTCTATCCCAGGCTGAGGCCCAGGCCCCGGTGAGAGCGGTGTGATGCCCACCAGCTAGATTAAAAAAAAATCGCAGTGGAGGTCTTTTTCCATCGCGGTGGAGGAGGTCCTTTCTGGATCCAAAGCGATTGGCCTCCGGTTCTCCGTGAGGCTCTTCCCGTAGCGTCACCTTCCCGATCTGGAAGGCGGGAGGTTCCTCACTCTCTCAATGATGTATGTTCCAACTTCATCTCGCTAACAGGTACTTTTTTCCCTGTGCTTTGCAGAGGGACGGGACAGGTTGCCGAGTCAAGCTCGCCCTGGCCGAACTGCAGAATCGAGTCGCTGAAAGTTGGAAGTGGATCTTGCCTACACGATAAGAGCAGTATCTTTCCAGACAAAAGTTGTTGCAATACTTAGTAGAGAACTGACTACGCCGTGAGAATTTTTCTGGTCCGCATAGGCCTCCATCTCATCCGTCCAATTGACAGTTTTCCGAAGAGGTTGGATCTTGCAAGAGACTCAAGATAAACCTCGCAACCGCAGTGTCCCAAATTGTGGGATACCGGTTCTTTACTTTTCGAACTTGGGCGCGCCGCAAGTTTCAACTCAGACGACAGCCTCGTTTTCGCACGCGCGCGTGTGTGTGAACACGTCATCGCGGCGGCACTTGCATACTTATACAAGCAGCAGTCATTAACCTAAATTGTTTGGTCTGGAAATGGTCATGATTACCGCGGATTTCTAGGGGAAGAACGGGACTGTAATAGCCCGGTAGCCTCATCGTAGCACGACCGAACTGCCCATTACTCGTTCTTTACGGAGCAAGACTTGGCTAGTGAGCCGCTGCACTTCATCAACGCAAGTCAGAAGTGCCATACGTAAGGTTAAGCCAACACCCCCTGCTTCGGGTATATCCAGGATGCATTCCGCGTACACATCCTGAAGGCGCGGCCGGGATGAGAAAAGCGGCCATTGCGAGATTGCCGAGTCCAAGACGGGAATTGGTATATCCAACAGCGAGAATTACAACGAAAAGGTTGACCCAACGATGGAACACTGTGAACAATGTGGGTAACCTTATGCCATGACCGAGTCAACTGTAGATCTATTGGAAAGTCTGACCAACAGGTATCATCCTCTGTCGGCTGTTTGTTGTTCTGAAGCTCAAGAAGCAGTTCAATGCTAGGCCTTGTAGTACGAGCCGACTTGGAGGGTATATTGATTAATATGTCGCAGTCGTGTTGCAGTCAACAGCTGATGCCCAACAAACCTTGATGCTACCTACTCTGGCGGTTGAGGCGTTGGAGGGCTGGCAAGTGTTCATTGTAGGCGGGGACATGCGAGGCATTCGGCCCGCTGTCCGCGCAGAGATGATTAAGTTGAGGGTTGCTGCAGCGAGTTGAAGAGCAGATGTGTTCGGTTGAGTGGGTCTTTGGTTGTGATTGACATCGGAAATTTTGCACGATCAATAGTCAGTCGGCTCTGGATCTTGGGCCGAATGCGTGTTAGCTTCAACGTGTAGGCGCTGGCTTTGGCTCTGTTTCTGTTTTATTTTTGGTGAAAACGAGAGGGCTGATAGTTGGGGTGAGCGCACTGTCTGTGTCTCAACCGCCGATCTCTTTTTCAAAATCACCCATGGTCCGTCGCAATAGATAAAAAGACTACCGGGATGGACTGCACACGTCGCCGAGTCGGCAAAAGAAAGCATACGAGATTCGTTGCAGAACAGATCCCGGAAGACTTCTAGAACGCGCAGCCGATCGTCTCTCCAGGACCCCGCATGCAGGATGCAGGGAGAACAGAAAGTCAAAAGGGCAAGCCCGAGGCCGAGGCCGAACCCGCCAGTGGGAGCGTGCCGGTGCGCGTGTGTCGGCCCCCTTTTTAGGTTGAAAGGCGGCGTCCTGGCCTACAAGAAGGCGCGCATCTGGGAAGCTCATCATGGGAGGCCCCTGAGCGGGAACAGGGCGGGATCCATGGGATGGACACCTCGCGCCGCTGGCGCTAGCCGGCGGCTTGGGATGAAAGGGCAACGACAGGAGAGAAAGCTCGTGCTCCCGTCGACGGCCGTGGTGTTTAGGATGCATAGTTCATTTCGTAGTCTGATCCCGACATGATGGGTGTGTCACCCGAAATCGAGGCTGGTGGTGAGACAAGATTTGAAGTGACACGGCCTTGGGAGCTGGTTGCCGTCTCCCTGTCCGGGCCGGGTGACACAGCGGTATGGAGGAGCCTGGACGGAGATGCCGGCCGGGCAGCGCGAATGCAAGACCGGGAATAAGGGAATGGTGAGCCGGCCATGATGGGGGGCCTTTTTTTTTGCCGGCCTCTCTCTCTTTGTCCCCCACGTTGGAGACTGTGGGTGACACCGGACGCGAAGGCAATCAATCAACCAGGCATGTGTTGAGAGAGACCTGGTTCGGCATGAGAGGTGTTCCGGAACTGGGGAGAGACATTGTTGGAACTGGCCTGGGTAGGGAGTGGCTCGCTCTGCCAGTTGAGAGTGCTAGATACGGTGCGGAGTCCGAATAAGGGTATGAGAGGCAGACGTGTGCGTACCTTGCATTCGTTTGTCGAAAATGGCATCAATGTCTCTGTTGTCTGTGTCACTGTGGGATTCGATGGAAAGCCAATAGCCGGAGAAAAGTAACGACAAGGGCAAGAGACGGACGGGGTTTGCGATCCGTCATCCATGGGACTTGGCCCTTGGCCCCAACTCCCCTTCCCAAGACGTTGCAGTGTACGGATAATCTAGTGTACGGCGTAGGTAGGCGCTCTGGGCGCCTGACGCACACGTTCCATCTGTTAATTCACGGCTGTTCGTCGATCAGCGTGGCCGGCCCCGTGATCAGTTGGTGGTGGATGCTGGTCGAGGAAGGGAAATGCCTTGGTGAGTTTGCGTGGGCTGGACGCCAAGGAGTGGGTCGGGGGAGAGATGCTGCTGCAGCGATGTGGGGTTTCGAAGGAGCACGAGCCCTGTAAATTTATTAGCAGGAGGTACGACCTGTTTTGGTGCCCTTTCTCATTGGGGGGGAGTAGGGACCACCGCAGCCGCAGCTTGCTCCTCCCCTCCTGCTCTCAGGTTGCTCCTTCCCTGTCCTGGTGGCCACGAGTTTTGGAGTCGAGTCTCCGTGAAAAGAGTTCCGTTGCGGCGGTACGGATAGGTGAGACCTGAAGGCTTTGAGGCGAAGAGGCAAATTGGCGTGTCTGGTTGAAGACCTTCATCGTCATTGATACCGGCGGTGTGGAAGCGCAAAATGTGACCGTCATTCCCCTGCGTCTCTCATTTCCTGGAGAGGTTACTTTTGGGGTCTTGGTTCGTGTAGAGGGGAGGCTGTGGGAGAGCTATCCTGAGCTGAGGTAGGGAACATAGGTACAGACAGCTATGTAAAGTGTAAACAGAGTCGATACGACCTCGCTCGACTCGTACTGTACCTGAAGCCAGACAAACAATCAGTCTTATTCCGCCGCTCACTCACAGGTTTAGCCCCCCATTCGAGACATTGGAAGAGAATAGGAGGCAGGCAGTTCGAGTGTGCAATATTCCAATGTCAAAGAGAAAGAAGGAGGTGCATAAAGCTCCACCCGGCCATCTTCTGGCGCATTGCTGTTGCACGGCCGTGGCTGACAATCCCGTCCCGCAAAGTCACAGGCTGTGGTATTAGTGCTTGCTCCTGAGATTATTTTGTCTCCTCCGTTCCCTCTCGTCCCGCTTTGCAGCCGTCTCACGGTCCCCGTTCTCCATTATCCATCTGGCCCCCCCGTTTTGAATGACAGCACCATATTGGAGGAGACGCTTCCTCGAGGGCCGTTCTGTTTCGTCCCTTTTTTTTCTCGGGGGTTTTTTTTTCTTCCTCTCCTGCGAGATGCTCCGTACTGCATATTTCCGCTTAAAATTTTGGTCCTCCTTTTCCAGATACTAACCTACGAGTGGGCGAAAAAGGGGAAGAGTGTGTGAAAGCCGATTGTGCGGTGAACCAACCTGTCGTCTCAAGTAGCCATTTTTTATTCGCCTTTTCTGCGTGCGCACGTTACCTCGACCTAAGTCGTTTCTAATATCATCAGACGGAACCAACCAAACATCAACCTTTTGCACTAGAAGACACCACTCACACACACGCACCACGTACACGCACACAATCCAAACCAAACACAACACACACAATACATACATACGTACATAGATTACATACACCCACCACAACAAGCATATCTTTCTTATTCCTCTCCCTTCCGGCATCCCCTCCCCCCTCCCCTTCAACACCTCTCGTTGCACGGCACAGCATTTCGAACTTAAAGGCACCGTTGCCCTTCCCCTCCTCCGTCTCGACCCGTCCTCTCCGTCCCGGCTAGTTCCCTCCCACCCCCCTGCCGAGCTTCGCCCGCGTCCATCCCGCTCTGCTACTGCACTGTACTGGACCGTAGTCTACACTAAACTTGCGCAATCCTGGTGCTGCATTTGCTCCCAGGGGCCAGGGCACATCACCCCTAACTCGACCTGACCTGAGCTTGGGACTTGGACAGACGTCAACCCCGCCGTCCACCACCCACTCTCACTACCCAACCCACCACTACCGCGACCGCCGCCGCCGCCGCCGCTGCCCGTTAGGTCTACCGCTCTGTGCCCAGTGCACCGCACCACCACAATCGCTACCTCGAACCCCTCTGCCCAACCGGTTCAACTTGCGCTTGACACATCCTTTCCTCCTGGACGACACATTCTCGCAAACCCGCACCCTCGAATTCCCCCCTCTCGCCAAAGCATCCCCTCCTCAACATGGCAGAGAAACCCTCAGTCCTGATCATCGGGGGGCTGGGCTACATTGGCCGCTTCCTGGCCCTCTACATCCACGAGAACAACCTCGCATCAGACGTCCGCGTCGTCGACAAGGCCCTGCCACAACTGGCATGGCTCGCCCCGGAGTTCCAAGACGCCTGCGCCGGCAGCAAGTTCATGCAGGCAGATGCAAGCAGAGAACGTAAGTCACCCGTACAAATCCCACGAACCGAACCCCAGAGACCACCTCCTTTCTATGCTACGACTGTCTTGTACTGTCTTCCTCTCGCCTCTCGCCGACACCTTCCACCTGCTGCCGCCCCCAGAGAACCCACTGTAATTCCGTTTCTTGGCTAACTTTTTGCTTTTTTCCTTCCTCTCGTGCAGAAGCCCTAGCAAAGATATTCGACCGGCCCGACGGCAAACAGTGGGACTACGTCTTCAATTGCGGCGGTGAGACGAGATATTCTCAAGAGGATGAGGTTTACAAGTTGCGATCCCTTGGCCTGTCCGTTGCCCTCGGCAAGGAGGCCGCTAAGCGCAAGGTCAAGGCTTTCGTTGAGCTCAGCACCGGCATGGTCTACAAGGCCGACTCCTCACCGAGCAAGGAGGGCGACAAGATCAAGCCCTGGAGCAAGATTGCTGTCTACAAGCTCCAGGCTGAGGAGGAACTGGCAAAGATGGAAGGGTACGTTCAACGCCGCCTTGCCGGCCCTCCTTGGAAGCTATTGTTTGCCATCTCGGCATTCGTCTCCATATCTCGTGAAGCTGACTCGACCCCCTTTTCTGTAGCCTGAACCTGATTATCGTTCGGTTAGCACACGTCTACGGTCCCTATGCCTCGCAATGGGTTGCCACAGCGCTGTGTATGGCTCGTGTCTACCAGTACCTTGAGGACGAAATGAAATGGCTGTGGGACAAGGGCCTCCGTCAAAACACGGTGCACATTTCGGACGCTGTGCGAGCGCTCTGGGACATCACCACGTGGTACGACGCCGGAAAGAGCAAATGGGACGACAAGTCTATGGGCAAGGTGCCTACATTCAACGTTGTCGACAAGGGTGTGACCACGCAGGGTGTCATGGCCGAGATCATTGGCGACGTCTTTAAGATTCAGACGGGATTCCAGGGGCAGCTGATCAGCACCTTTGCACGCCTCAACATGGACAACGTTGTCGACGACATCAACGACGATCTCATGGGCCCGTGGGCCGAGCTCCTCGAGAAGGCGGGCATTGCACGACCGGGACCCCTAACGCCATTTATGGAGAAGGAGCTTCTCAAGGACACGGATTTAAGCATGGACGGCAGCCGCCTGGAAAACGTCGTTGGTTTCAAGTACGAGAAGCCGAAACTTACCAAGGAGCTGATCGAGGAGGTGATTGAGAGCTACAAAAAGATGAACTGGTGGCCGTAACGGAACGATCTAGAAGCATAAAAAGCGTGCGGGTGAGTTAAACCTTGCGACCGGGTTCGAAGATTTAGGGCCGCGGCGCGCCGGAGCGTCATGATATCAGTTGGATCGTTTGTTTGAGCTCCTTTGTTTGCGAGAAGCATCCCGGAGCCAGTGGCGGGGAGCCGGGGCATTGTACCACCAAGATATCCTTTTCCTTTTATTCCTCTTCTGCTGCTCCGGCCATGTACATTGGCATATTTCTGAGGGTCGTAATCTTCAATAAAGTTAGGCCAAAAAATCCAAGAGACCCCAAAGTGGTGCTGTCTGTAGTGAGAGTGTGTGTATGAGAATAATTGGGCTGCGGAAGCTCCAGATTGGGCTGAGACAGGGGATGCCTGCCGGGGTCGTCTTGAAACATCTGGAGCTCACCATAGGGCCTTTCTTTGGTGCGTTGCAGACAGCTTCCTCTGTGACTACTCGAGCTGGGATGCTCCTGCCTTGGCAGCTACCGACCTATTTGGAGTTGGAGCTTGGCCCCGCTGCAATAAAGAAGCTTTGTGCTTCTCGAAGCTCGTCCCTCGGCTGTTAGGACGCCGGAGTCAGGCACATACACGGGGGGAGGAGACGGGGAGGCGGGCGATCGGAGGCGGACTGGATCGGTTCGGTCGAGGGTTGATGGTTTTCCTTTGACACCGCTTTTTTTTGAAGGCGAGTTTTGCTTTGTGACGTCTCTTCGAGGTACGATCTAATTCGTCACCCGTGACGAACCCAAGACAGCTCGCTAGCGCGACTTGGCTGGGCCTACTACGGGACACGAACGAGGCCGGCTGGAGCTGTACGAGCTGTCAATGTCTGCTGTGTAACTAAACCGATGCATGAGGCCGTGGGAGGAGGCTCTCTTTCGTTGTACGAAGCTGACCGCGGAGGCGAGGGGACGGTTCGAC